TTACCCTCTTTCGTTGACTTACTTTAACAAGTAAAGGATTCTTAGGTAATTGAATCTTCTATCTAATAACTTTTATGAGACTTAAATAAAAATTGTACAACCTATTCTCATTAAAAATGGCATAATGGGCTCCTTACTTGAAAGAGGCAAAGTCGTTATGGACAATAACTATAAATTGAGAAAAAGCATTCCGAGATTGTTTCATGATTTGACCCTAGGTGAACACTTAAGTATGTCAAACACTTACAAGAAATTAGATAGAATTTTTTAATGAAAGGTCAACAAGGAAATGTTAGACAATACATTAGGGAGTGCCTCATCTATCAAACTTACAAACCGGAGTTAGTGGTAACTACTGGACTACTACAACCACTCGCCCATACTACAAGGAGTGTTCACCGACATTTTCATAGATTTCATGAAGGGACTTTTTAAGTCCAAGGAAAAGGAATCCATCTTCGTAGTTGTGGACCGCCTTACCACATATGCTTATTTCATGAGCCTTCTTCACCTTTATACTACCCAAGTGATAGCACAATTGTTCCTTGGCACTCTCTTCAAACTACATAGTTGACCGACCACCATCATAAGTGATAGAGACAATACTCTCGAGTAATTTCTGGAGGGAGATATTTTTCCTATAATGGGTTGACTCGCATTATTCCATAGCTTACCATCCCTAATCGGATGGCTAAATAGAAAAGGTCAATCATTGCCTTGAAACCTACTTTCGGTGTATGGTAGAGGACACACCTATTGAATAGTCAAAGTGGCTATCTTTAATCGAAAATGGTATAATATGAATTTTCATTCATCTACCAAGTTGACATCCTTCGAAGAACTTTATGGTTGCCCACCCCCGATCGATCTATCATACATTCTTAAGGACTCTCTTGTGGAAGTAGTTGATAAGTACCTCGGTAATGGGGAACTCATGCTAGCCTAACTCAAGCACAATCTCATTTGGGCATAAAACCGTATGCATCAATTAACAAATAGACACAAAATTGAATATCAATTTATAATTAGTGATTGAGTTTACCTAAAGCTTTAGCTTTACAAACAACGATCATCGGCCAAACACATATTTTGTAAACTCTTTGCTTGCTATTATAGTTGTTTTTTGGTTAAAGATAGAATAGGGACTATGACATATCATTTGAAGCTACTCATATCGGCTTCAATTTACCTGTGCTTTCATGTCTCCCTTCTCAGAAGACCATTGGAACATACATAATCTAGAAGGACTTACCCCACCCTTTCTACTAGCTACCAACCTCAACTCGATGTACATTATGGATAGATGTATTACTAAGAAACACGATCTAGTAGTGGTCCAATGGTTGATTTACTAGCTAGATCTCTCCCATGCTAAGACAACTTGTGTTCCATCTTTTTCCCTTCGCGAACAAAGGAATTTTAGAGAGGGTAACCGATACAAGAAAATCACGAGTATGGGTAGCATGAGGATGTGTTTTGAATTGAATTGAGAATTTCATTCTCAATTAGGTTTATGAATGGATTGGCATTGTTAATGGGTTAAGCTATAAGGTTTATTTGATAAGAGGTTAAGTTACTTGTTATGTAATAATGGGCAAGTTAGCATCTAAGTCGGATTAATTGGTTAGCATCCGGTCGGCATTCACTAGTAGATAGAACAAAACGGGACAAAAGTAGAACGAATTGTAATAGAAATATATATGTTTTATATAATAGAAGGGTACAACAAGAAATGAAATACAATTTTTATCTCTTTTCCCTATTCTTTCTCTCCTTTCTATTTTTGTCTTCTTTTTCTACTCTTTCTACATTTGTCTTCAAGAAACTACAATTATCAAATTCCTAAGAAAACCCAAAAAACTCACAAATCAAATGATTTTAGAAGGGAAAATCCTTCTCAAGCAATTCATCAAATGGATTAAATGCGTTTTCATTCCTTTCTTTCACTCAATTAGAGATTGAGTTAGGTTTCAAACCCATTTCATATCTTGTTAAAAACTTAATTTCATGAGATTGAATATAGAAAACCCATAAATACAGGATATCAAATACAAAATTCCAAATTAAAGAATTAAATAAAATTCTCAAATCAATGATTGGGAATTTCCAAATGCATCAAAGAATTTACATAGCAAAGAACTTCAGGAGACCAAATACGGAAAACCTAAAAATGCATCAAAGAATTTCTAAAGAAACCCCGAAATCAATGAATTTCCAACCCCCTAAAAAAAAAGAGATCAAATATTTTTTCAAACAATTCATCAAACATATTAAATGCATCTTTCTTCGTTCTTTCACTCAATCGGCGATTGAGTCTTTTCAATTGAACGAGCATGAATCAACTCTTTCCCAAATTTGACACTCATTCTCATCCTCCTTGTTCCTTTGTAGGTATTCTTGTTTGGCTATAACTTTTTTTTTTTTTACAAGTAAAGTTTTGTTTAGTTATCCACTAGTTAGATACCCATGCTACGTTGTAGTTAGACAATCGTTGTATATGTTGGATTAATGATTCGTATGATGTGGTATGAGTAAAAGTTTTGTTTTTGATGATTAATATAAATCGAATCTATATATTGAGAAAAAATATTTGATTTATAAATATTTATTAACAAAATAATTTCTAATATTAGCATAAAAATTTGTATTTGAATAATTAGGGATTCTTTCAAAATATTAAATTATTTTATTTAAAAATATAGATTTTAAAACATAAAAATAAATAAATAACAAATAGTTGGTGCTATCTATGTAGATATATAATTAATTTCTAACAAATATATGTGTGTGTATGTGTATGTGTGTGTCTATATATATATATAAAATAAAAAAATATACAAAAATACCCAACTAAATTGCATGAAATATATCGAAGTGAATAGAATTAAATAAAAACTACTATAAAATTAGTTTCGATAAATTTCGATTATATAATAATAATAATAATAATAATAATATATTTTACGAATAAAATAATCACATTCTAAATTTTATTTCAAAATCCTTTAATAAAAAAACCAAATTTATTAACAAATAAAATTATATCAAAAAATTAAAAAATTAATTCAATGAAAATTTTAATAAGAAACGAACAATTGAAGAAATAAATTTTAAACAATAAGAATAATATAATCGGATATATATATTCAAACTAAAATATTAAAAAATATTATATATATATATTCTATTCCATCAAACTATACGTAAAACTAAAAAAAAAATTATAACGATCTTTTTTTATTTTTTATCTTTTCACACTCGATTTCATGATAAAAAATATAAAAATAAATTATTGAAGGAAAAAAAAAGGTCAAGCATGTGTAGCTAGGCCAGCCTCAACGTGGGTGGCCTATGAGCCAAGCCTCGTCCAACAAATAGGAGACCCAATTGGGAATTTGTATTCTTGGTGACCCAATTAAGAATTGAGTGACGGTTGGGGGATTAATATGCTCGTCACAAAACAATTAAAAAAAGAAAAAGAGATGGAGGAGGTTGTTTTGACAATGTATTAAGAAAAATATAGCTGGAGGAGATTTCTTTGCAAGCAAATTATAAATTTGTTTCTCTCGGATTTGCAAAATAAAAAATAGTAATTTCTATTGCTGTGCATACTTAATTCAATATTATTTTGTTCCAAAACAAATTTCATCAATCTTTTTATGCTTTTTTTTATTTTTTTTCACTATTGTATTTTGTTAAATTTTTTTTGAAAAATACATGAAATGGATAAAAAAAAGGACTAATGAATTAGATTTTAAAAAACTATAGGAATTATTTAATTTGTTTGGTAAAATTAGAGGACCTAATTTATAATTTTCTCTTTCTTTGATAATGAATTATTTTTGCTTTGTCTGGGGGCCTATGAGTCGTGAGCTAGGCCTCGTGCGCTAGTGGTCGCTTTAGCTTGCTTCTCCACTCCGACTACGGGTTGCTTGCTAGTCCAAAGAAAAATAGGCATGTGCAACTAACTGTGCAACCCCCTTCTCCACACACACACACAAAAAAAAAAAAAAGAAAAAAGAAAAACCTTGAGCTCGTCGGAAGCTTCATCGAAAAATCGAGAGTTAATTTTCGGACCCAAATAAACTCAATTTTGACATTATTTTTTCTCCCGTACACCTTTAAATGACTGAAATAAAGCTAATAAATACTTTTAAGGCCTTAAAAATCATTTTAATTCACATTAAAACAAAAAAAGAATACATAATCAAATCGATTTTTTTTTTTTTTGCTATGATCAACATCTTTTAATTATTTCATGGATTAAAATCACTATAAAAAAACTCATCTTTCAAAGATAAAAAAATCTAATAGAATTTTGCCGACCAAAGTTACCTAAAGAAGGTTGGTCGATGCTCTCTCTCTCTCCCTCTCTTTCGTTTTCGTCCCTCCTTTCTACACGTAGGGAACAAAATGTATCAAAAAATAAAGATTTAAATCGAAATAAAATGTTCAAAAATATTAGGGACCAAAATATAAAAATTTGCATAATTTTTGCCCATAAAAGTGCGACAAAATAACAAAAAAACCAAATTACAATGAATGAATAATCTAACACCTCAGTTTTTTTATTTTTATTTTTTTCTTAGCATGTGAAAGATGAAAAACTCAAGTAAGACGACAATATCTGCTTTTCTACAAATACAGAATATGAAGGGTTATTTCTTTCTTTTTAACATGATTTTCTCCAATAGTTTTTTTTTTTCTATTGTAATTTTTGGGCTTTCTAATTATTTATTTTTTTTATATAATTTTGTGTCATTTTTTAATTGCATTACGAGTAAAAAATATGGTTTGAGTTTGATCAACAACTAGATTGTTGACTTAAAAAAAAAAAAAGGTTTAGTATTTAAATTGAAAAAATTAAAGTTAAGTAGTAGTCTTCCTCAATTAACTAAATTCATATCGAAACGCTGCGTTTTGGTTAAGTGATTTAGTCAGAGGGACGTTCCGGTTCACTAAATCACGTTAAATCATATCTTTCTCTGATATCGGTAGGGATGGAAGCGGAAGACGGCGGACAAGGCGGCTCCACGTCGGGCGGGAACATGACTACTGTATCTCAGCATACTTTCGCAGACGACTTTGAGAAACTGGCATTCACCATCTCAATAATCGAGGTACTACTCTCTATTTTCCATTCAAGAGGGAAAAAAAAACATTAAAATTTTTAGCTTTAAAAATGTAGATAATGAATTACTTTTTTTCTGTTTTGAATTAGAATGTGAAGGAAGAATATGGCTTGTTTGTGTGGCCATGTAGTGTTATACTTGCTGAGTATGTATGGCAACAGAGGTTGCAGTTTTCTGGTGCTAGTGTTCTCGAGGTAATTCAATTCCAATTTTATTTTATTTTCATAATTATGTGATATGTAGTTCTTTTTTTTTTTTTCCCCTTAAATCTGATTTAATTTAGATTGTAGCTTGGTGCAGGGACTTGCTTGCCTGGATTAGTAGCTGCTAAGTTGGGGTTGGATGTTACTCTTACCGATGATTCTAATAAATTGGAGGTATTACTGGTTAGCCCAATTTGTTAAAACTGAAGTATTCTTCTTAAAACTTAATAAACATGATCGGTTGCAATTTGTTATTGCTTGGATTTACAGGTGTTAGACAACATGAGAAGAGTGTGTGACTTGAACCAACTTAATTGTAAAGTAAGCTATCACTGGTAGCGTTGTTGTTCTCCATATACAGACAGCTACTAGACTTGACTGTATTTTCTTCTTTCCTTTTTTTAGAAATTGGAGTTCTATACTTCTATTTTATAGGTGTTGGGACTGACATGGGGAGTTTGGGATGAATCTATATTCACTTTGAAGCCAAAACTTATTCTTGGGGCTGATGTATTTTATGATGCAAGTGGTAATTACTTTTTCTTCAATGGTTTTGATTTCCTTTTTTCTTTTCCTTATTTCACTTCTTTCCTGCCTTGTATTTTACTCAACTTCATTTTGACCAGAATTGTTTACTTCGATTTGTGTTTGTTAGCTTTTGATGACCTCTTTGCCACTGTGACATTCCTGCTCCAAAACTCTCCAGGGTCTGTCTTTATAACAACTTATCATAATAGAAGGTAATTATTGATCAGCTTCAGAATTTTGATCTGAGTTTATGCTGTGCCAAGTCATTTCTGTTTTCACACTCCTCTAACCATAATGTTTTCTTATAGTTTTCACATATTTTATTTTATACAAATGTTTCTTTTTCTCTTGAAACCTTCATTTGTTTTCTTATTGTAATAATGTGCAGCGGGCATCATCTTATTGAATTCTTGATGGTGAAATGGGGATTAAAGTGCCTAAAGCTTATTGATGGTTTTTCTTTCATGCCACCCTACAAGGCATCCGGGCTAAGTGGCAACATTCAATTAGCAGAGATTGTATTAAGCAGTGAATAGACATTACCAAGTAATTTCCATTGATCAGCTTCTGGAAAGCTATCTAGTGATGCAGCACTTGGATTACATTCTGCTTCTCACTGCCACTGGAGGTTTCCTCTGCCAAGATGAGACGACTATGTGGTAAATTCTAGTTTTTGATACTGTGAATGAGTGTAGTTGTAATCTATTCTGGTTTCTTCTACATTAATGCCAAGGAGATTGATTATGTGTAGATTATCAGATTGTTCTCAAGTGCTAAATGCTTGGGCATGTAAAGTACCTTCTGACACTCGGTTTCTAGTAATTTTTCATGAGACCAGCTTAAATTTTCTTGGTATTTGATATGATTAACCTGTTACGGTTCTTGATTTGCTAATATTAATAGCCCAGGTAGGATTCTTGGACCATATCCTGCTAATAACTGAACCAGATTGTAGGTTTAACCTTCAGTTGGAAGAAGTGGGTTGCAGGTCACTTTGCTTTGACAAATTAATTCCTTGTTAGCTTCATTTATTTTTTCTACTAAACACTGCCTGTTATAATCCAGAAGCCAATGACAAGAAAATATCTCTGGACATATCTATTACATTACAAGATAGATGGCCTTCATGGCCATTAGCAGACCAGATGCCTAGTTTTTGCTATCCATGCATTTGGTTTTTTTCCATTTTAAGTTTAAAAGTAATGATAACCAAGCTACTAGAACCTTAGTTTACCACCCTACAATCCTTCCTAACCTCCTGACCACCTGTGATGCTACTCAACTTGATCATGGATGATGCAAAAGCCTTAGTGAAAGTGGCTTTGGAGCTGGCAAACTTGGTAACCAAATCTCTTGTCTTTGGAGCGCTGAGTAGAGCTTGGTCTGAGGAGAATAAAACCTTCTTTTGGAGGATCAACTTGAAATATGTATTATCAAAAGTTGTTGGCGAATGATCCATGGTTGTTCCTGCATTCTTTGCCATGTTTGTTTTTGGACAAACACTCCTTAAGCTGGCTGCAAAGGATGGATGCATAGAGGGGTCTATGTCATGAGTGGCATTGAAATTGCGGATTCTGCTTTGGAAGGATGAGCAGTGAGAAAACCCTAGAGTATGGCCACCTGCATATGAGGAGTTGGTAACATTGTCATTTCATAGAGGAAAACTGCTGAATACGTAGTTAGTAACAATAGCAGTTGGTCTTCTGTTTTTACCTAAAAGAGCCACTACGTCATCCATGGACAGACCTCTTTGAGAGAAGCTCTGCTGCAGCTGATATATGTTGAAGGTAGGAGAAGGCAATTGTGTAGTTTCACTAGCCTTTGATGTTCTCCCATCTTTTCTTCCTTTTGGGACATCCCATGTTGGACCTCCTGACTGCAATATGATTTTGATAAAACTATCAGTAACATAATTATTTTTTGTCATTATAATCACTGTTTCAATTTTCTTCCTTTTTCTTTACGTAAGTAATAGTCCTGATCTTAAAGTGAAGTTTTTGCTTGTTTTGTTATCTTACAAATGCAACTGCATCCCTTGCAGCTAAAGCCAAGATATCAGCACATGACACCACTCCCGGGCATGAATCTTCCACTTCTTTCTTTGCATTGTCAATGACATAAAATGCATGCAAAGAAGCATTGGGTGGCCCATCTTTCTCTGCTTTGTTGTTCCCTTTCGAATTTAGCAGCACTGAAGCATCACAACCCTGAAACCGGAGGCAAACATTCAAGTTAGGAACAACAGTGAGCACGTAAATGATAAAAGAAGCTTGAAGAAACATATCATATGTTAATCTCTACCCTTATGAAACAGTCGTGGAAATGCATCCGGAGTAGCGCTGCAGGGACTTTTCTGTCTTTCATCATTGCTTTATTGACAGCATTTGTAACAATGGAATCGACATCGGGGCAAGTTTTCTCATAGTAATTCAAGCTCAGTGCATTTCCTGCTGAAGATATCAAAAATATGACAATTGAGCTCAAGAATAAAGCAGCAACAAAAACCATGCTAATGCTAGGTAATCTGACTTGGCTCTCAACTTTGATTTTGCATAGCAACTGGAAAGATCTCCCGGATTTTTATACTGAAACTGACAGATTATAGAATGATAAGAGTTGTTGTCAGAAATGAGGTGCTGGGCCCGGATGGTGAGTTGGTTAAGGAGAGTGATAATAATGGAGTAGTGCAATTTAAGCATTCCAACTGTAGGGTTACTACATGATAATCCTTGTCAATTATGCCTTCACGCTCAGTACCTGTTCAGAGTGCTCTCATTAGTTGGAATTGAGTATCAATAGCAATCATTAATTGATTCCAATCCTGTCTATTAGAAAAATAAGTTAAGACGTGTCTAGCACTTACATTCTTTTACAGGCTTCTTTACTTGAAATTTAAGGTGCTAATGATTGCGTACAACTCGTAACCACATGATGTGAGATGATTGAAAAAGCCTCAGGAAGTGAAATCCAGCGCTAGAAAAGAGCTAATTACTTGAACAGTTAAAAGTAATTCACGAGGACTACAGTTACAATTTTTTTTTTTTTTCCTTCCTCTCTTAAATGAGCTTGAGATTAAGTCCTCTTTTTTAGACTGGTTAAAGAGCAGACCGTGGATATCATAAAAATAGCCGTACTTAAGGTTTGAATCTTGATGGTTGATGTTAAAGCCAATTATTTAATTGTCTAGCATATGTGCAAATTTCCTGAATCAATGGTGGTTTTCGAATCCTCGTTAAAGAAGCACAAACCACCATGCGATGATGAAATCTTTACCTGCCGTTCAACTTGATTATTGAGAATTGAGAACGCACTCAATGCCTCAAAGAGCAAAGGCAACCTCAGATGTTTCTATCTTTGACGGGTTCATTTCAGGAACCGATTTCCCAAATAGTCTCAAACGCTAACTTTCATCATTCAAGTACTGCAAAAACATCAGTCCAGTGAGAAATGGACACAGCGGCATCCTGCTAGTTAGCCTACGGAGCCATATCTGCATGGGCAGGTAAAACAGACCAATCAAGGAAGCATGTCACCGGATCAAATGGGCCCTGTAACGAAATAAGGAATGTCGCAAGGTGGTTAGGGTTAAGGCATCAGACTAGTTATTTGTGATAGTCAAAGCTTGTTTTTTAAGCCTCAGCTTTATTAATTGCAAATTGCAATCAGTGGATCTTCACTATAGCCTAGCTAGCTATTGGCAGTGTGATAATGGTTCTGCTCTTTATTTATGTGCATGAATCTTAATTTCTACTATATATCAGCAGCTAATTTGTGAACCAAGTCTATAAACATGAACTTATCTAGAATTCTTTTTCTTTTTTCCTGCTAAATTGCTAATGGAGTAAAACAAAACTCGTTCAATAGCAACGTAAAAGAACCATGTTCCTAGCTAGCATCAACATATTAGTTTGGCGACGTATGAATAGTGTGTGGGAGCACCGATCATACTCATATTATGACCAACACGTTGTTAGTTAATTGGATTTGAGTAAATTATTAATTAGTTCCTCTATTTTCAAATAATAATAATAATAAATAAAAATAATTAATCTTTTTTATTTCAAAAACTAATACTTATTATTCAAGAATAAAGGCCAAATTTTGACCCTGAGGAAGCAAAGATTGATTGGGCGATTGTTTGGGTGCGAATTCCTAATCTATTCCTTGGGTATTAATTATGATACACTAATCATGACTAGAATTAGCGTTGAGATTGATTTAACATAACCCTTAATATCCAAATGGCTTATTGTATCATAAAATCATGAAAATAACACGTTTCTTGTTAGCTAATTGGATTTGAGTAAATTATTAATTAGTTCCTCTATTTTCAAAAAAAAAAAAAAAAAAAAAAAAAGAAAAAGAAAAAAGAAAAAGAAAAATCTTTTTTTTTTTTTTTATAAAAAAACTAATACTTATTATTCAAGAATAAAGGCCGAATTTGGACCCTGAGGAAGCAAAGATTGATTGGGCGATTGTTTGGGTGCGAATTCCTAATCTATTCCTTGGGTATTAATTATGATACACTAATCATGACCAGCATTAGCGTTGAGATTGATTTAACATAACCCTTAATATCTAAATGGATTATTGTACTATAAAATCATGAACATTTGACATGTTTTAAAAAACGAATATAAAATATATGAACTAAAATTTTGACAATCATATAAGCATGGGAGGATTTTTTCGTTCGAAATTCTAATTTCACTTGATGAGGCGGGACACATAGGATGACAATAAGGATTAAAATCAACCTAGGATTACATGTGGCAAGAAATTAAAATTGCTTCCATGTTCGGACAACATGTCACCCATCCACCCAATTTTAATTCACTTTTTTTTATTTTAAAACCAAATAATCCCTAAACTATAAACCCAAATCAAATAAAAAAAAATCTCTCATCTTCTTCTCTCGCCTCGACAAACTAGTATCCATTCCTTTCCTCCCTAATGAGTGCATAATTAGCATGATTTTTATGCTCTTTTACCTTGAACTTTCTAGTGTTTACCGTATTATATTTAATTAATTAAGATCAAGATAACGATTTTGGGTTTTGTAAGAAAAAAAGATGAATTGGAGCAAAAAATATCCAAAACCAAAGCAAGAAAAAGCACTAGTCACGAAAGAAGCTTAGGAGTTACAAGGTCGTGCGAAATACAAAGAGAAAAAGCCATTGATCATGTGAAATAAGAAAGAAACCATGTGGATTGCTCAAGCCACATGGGCAATAGCTTTCCACACGACTAGAGCAAGGAAAATGATACGAACGTGGAGATGTCAAAACTAGAGTACCTTCAAAGAGGAAACATGCATCACATGGGTAGTGGCCATTCCATACGAAATGCACCGAAGAAAGACACGATAATGTATGTCAAAGCTAGAAGAAGAGACACGAGCGAGAATGAAGAACAAACCCATATGGCCATGTGCCTATGTCCATCAAACCATGCAACACCAATTCTTCAAGGCCCTAAGCCATGTGAAATAGTAGAGCAAACCATGTGTCTTGACTAAGCAATCCGTGTGACTATGTGAGACCGATATATGTATCATGTAATCCTACTTTTAGCTATAAATAGTGATGTTAGATTTTATTTCAAGATTTTCACTTTCATGAGCCACCATAGATAGAAAATTCTTATTTGTAATCGATTATGAACAACTAAACATCCATCTTGGTTAAAGAAAGTTGAAGCTTTTGGTTAAATCGTTATGAGATATTATTAGGTTTTAATTCTAAACTTATCCTTTTTAATTATTTTATGTTTTTCTACATGATTTGATTATGATTGTGTGATTAATTGATTAGAGTACATGCTAATTGCTTGATCATCATAATCCATTGCTAGTTAAGTATTCAAGTCTATATAATTGCTTGTTTAAACTTACTTATGATAGTAACTAGGGATTAATGATTATAAGTGCGTTTTCATTTAATTTCTTCAAAAACATAGAACAAAATTACATCTTTCTAGTGTCTAAGAGGGTGGTTTAGCTTCACGTGAATTTCTCTACTTTAATGCTATTATTGGATTGAATCTATCTAGCTTCTAGTAGGTTATTCAATAGCTAGAAAATTAATTAAGTATCATATATTTGGTTAACAAATCATTAAGGAAAGATTTGAGACAACATACATGTTTTTGTCCTATAGTGAATATTCATGTTAAGGAAGGTTAATCATTGAATCAATGATCTACGACTAAATAAAAAATAGAGATAGAACTTCAACTAAGATATTTCCCATTATTTTTATTTAATTTTACTTTGATTACTTATAAATCACCACAAACACAAACCCCTATTTAATTCCTTTGCACTACAAAGCATAATCGGATAATAGAAACAATTAATTAGGCCATTTCTCTACGGGTTCGACTCTTTCTTGCCCTATTTACACTCTTATGGTTGGGTTCCATAAGGAATATAAATTAAATAATTTGTTAATAGTATGACACGTCATCAAATTTTAGCACTATTGTTGAGGAAGGTAGTTCAAATTGCTTATTTCTTAGTATTCGGTTGTTTGTTTCCTCTAATGACTCGAAGGGGAATCATGGCTAATCCATGCAACAATCGCACACTCAAAGAATTGGCCGCTCCGGACTCGAATTTGCAACATTTATGTATTGATTTTTTTTTGATACCGAGGTAGCTCTTAAGCTTAAATATGGTATAATCCATCTCTTGCTTAGCTTTCATGATTTGTCAAGTGAAGACCCTTACAAACATCTAAAGGAATTTCCTGTAGTATGCTCTAGCATGAAACCAACAGGGATAATCGAGGATTAGATTAATTTAAGGGCTTTTCCCTTTTCATTAGTCGACTTGGCCAAGGATTGACTCTATTAGTTATAATTTGAATCAATCAACACATGGAATAAAATGAAGAGATTATTTTTGGAGAAACATTTTCCCGTATCTCGAGTTATAAATATCCATAAGGAGATATGTGGGATAATAGAGAAAAGATTATATGAGTATTGGGAGAGATTCAAGAAATTATGTGCTAGTTGCCCTCACCATCAAATCGGTGAGTAACTCTATAATATTCGTGACCTAAATCCCTCCTGGAAATGTAATTGTGATGTATGGATATTTTGTTTAATTAATCAAGAAATGACATGTCTTATCTTAGTTATCAACCTTTTTGTATTAGATTGCTAGTGCACCTAACAAATCATCCACGTATACCTATTGATTGAGCCCATTGAAATGAGTGAAAAAGTACATAAATTCTCTAATGAGATAACTAATATAACTTTAAGTTGAAGGACTAATTATACCTATTTCATATGAGATTCCCATAGACTAAACCAAATGAGTTCTCATAGCGAGTCAAGTCTAATGATATGTTCTTTAATATTAATCCCCTAAATGCTTACTTTGGCATTACCATACCAATAGATGTGAGATCTCATATTACTATCTTATAGTATGAGTATAGAACTCATAAGTCTTATCTCATATAGTTAATGTTCATCCTTAACAATGCTATGATTTAGGAATTTAATAATATCATTTAAGTGCATTAATATTTATCTTACACCTTTCAATCAATCATTAATGTAATACATATCATATGGACTTCCATTCAATTCTATCAAAGTATAAAACAATAAGAATTAATAGAAAGAATTTTTATTATTAATAAAATAAAGAATGCAATATTATAATAAGTTAAACATCCAAACAAGGTTGGATCTTGAGCACCTACACTAATAATCTCTCACTTTTATTAAAGCTAACTAGCTATATCCCTTATTCTCGATGATCGATTAAAGGTCTCATATTTTAGTTATAAAAAAGGCATAGTCAAGGGGTCAACTATGTTATCATTAGTGTAGACCTTTTCTATCCTTAGATCGTTATGACTAATAATCTTTCTAATCGAAGGTAACATTATAATACGTTTTTGGACCATTGATGAGACCTAGGTTCATTATCTTGTGTTATGGCTCCATTTCTTATCATAATACAATACTATTAGATCAATAACACTAGGACCAATTGGTAGTCTAGATAAAAATTTGTGAATCCGGATAGCTTTCATAGCTGCTTTTACAATTGCAATATATTTAGCCTCAATTGTTGAGTCGATTACTATTTCTTCCTTAGAACTTTTTTAGTCGACGTAACCACGATTTAATTAAAAAATGAATCTTGATCGTGACTTAAAGTCATCATGGTCGGCTTGAAAACTAGCATCTATGAACCTTTTCAACAATAGTTTATCTCCTCCATAGACTAAGAAAACATCCTTACTTGTTCTCAAGTACTTAAGAATGCTCTTTACGGTAATATAGTATTTTTCACCTAGATCGGTTTGATATCTACTATATATGCTCAAAGCATATAAGACA